TTGCTAGCGGTCACTTAATGAACACTGCGTTTTAGGTAATTTGGCGTTTTGCTTACACTAATAAATATTCATACGGCAACAAAGTCTATAAACCGGCAGTTGACTTATGACTGTAGATCATATTCGATTTCTTCCAAAGTGCTCACCTTACCTTTTTTCTCTACACTTGTGTCTGCTTCTTTTACACCAAAGAATCACTTTTCTGTCCCCCCTCCACCTCCCCCTCGACTTTTTGTGAAATCAACTAAAGGGCTAATGATAACTATCATAAAGATTACCATTTGTCATGAATAAATGTTTCCGCTTACACTAATAACAATGCACGTGTCTTATACCATTCTATAGGTATCTAATTGCAAGATAGCACTTTTGATATGAACTAAAAAACTCAGGTCAAAAGCTAAAATAAACGCGAGGGGTATCAAAACAAGTTTTTTCGTGGTGATCGAAGAGGCCTAACACTAACAAGCCTGCGAAGGGGTGAATTCTGGCTGTTCAAAGAGCCATCCTATAAAATAATGACCCTCAAAAGTAAGTCCGTTAGAGGAAATAGGCTCAATAAATAGAATATGAAGAGCTTGAAATAAGACTTGTTCTCATCATATCGTGTTCCGCTTAATTAAATGTGACTGTTTTCTCTCGAGTAAAGAACTGTTTTGACTCGATTACGAATAACACAACACTTGGCAGCAGGAATTGGCATTCACTTGCGTGATTTGTCAGTGCACATACTAGACTTGGCTAGAGGATGTGATGATGATAATTCAATCGCGGCATAAAAGCTCAAAGGTGGCCCCTTGTCACAGATACAGAGCCCACTTGGAAGCTAAGTTAGATCCTTAAGTTCAATTGGGAAATGTTTACCAAAATTTCTCAAATTATAAACAAATAGTGAAGTGCTCTAAAGCAGAGGAAATATTTGAAAAACATATGCTTTTCTAGAGAGCTGCATTAACAAAAGGTCTTAATCGATATATCCGAAAATGAAATTTGGGCATACCAGAACGAAAAATGTGATTTGAGTAATAAAGGAATAAAGATGGGGAGCTTGACAATACTTCGATAGGTCCAATAAATGGGACAGGCGTTGCCTATATATATATTTTTTCAAATGGCAGGCTTTATTATATTTATCATTAGCCCTTAAACTTTGACTTCAGCTTCCCCCCTGGGTGGGAGATACATACATAGCAGATTATTAATAGCAGTTCATTAGCTGTCTTCTTGCTTCCCAGTATCTCTGGGCTTCCGTCGTTGTCTTTAGGGCTGGACACCGAATCAGGTGGGTCTTCTCCATTTCCTCCTGTCGGTTACATGGGGGGCATTATTTTCAAGATTGAGACTAAATAGTCTGACAGATAAGATGCACAAATCTCGTAGACCTTTCATTTATCATTTCATATGATGTGAAAGTCAACCTAATATTTCGCAGTGGGTTTATCGAGATAGTCTGGAGAGTAAACTCATATACGCTTCAAAATTATTCTTATATCACAAACTGTAGAAATATTTTACTTTTCGCCAAAGGTTCCGAAGTGATGCCTTCTATGTCTAACTTAAACCCTCAGCTGACGTGTCAAGATGATTTATCCACTCCCATTTCTCCCCGTAACTGTCACATTTTATTTAAATATTGAACTACGCTCATCTTTTAGCGCGTCCGTACCCAAATATCACATAAAAACGTCTTTTTATGTCTACTCAACGCGCAAATACACACGCTTCGTATTTGTCCTCCGTGAGTTGCCTACGCAAATGTTTTGTTCTCCCAGCTCTCCTTCCACTCGTATTTTAACCGCTTTTGTGAAAAGACTTTTGGTCAACATTCAACTCGAAGTGTTCGTCTTGACTCCGAACTGTAGCTGTTCATTGCTAGCTGTTGACTGTCAATCCAAGCTCCTGATTTGGTGGCCTCGGATCTTGTTACTTCAATGAGCGTAGTAAAAATGGATGAAGGAATCTCGCGTCTCCCAAAGTTAGTATACGCGCATTTAAAAGTGTCATTTGATTTATTATAAACAATTAATGACCTTGACATGAAATAAGAATTTCCTCTTAGGAATATGAATATACTGATGACAGGTAAACAAATAGATGTCTGAAACGTTAGCATTAATTTTGGCGTTTTCAGTATTGCACACAAAATGAGCCGTCATGATTCAACACAGCCCCTCCAGTTAGTCGTCTAAATAATTTTAAGCGGAAGTGTTTATACAGAACTTGTATTCTTTTTTTCAAGCAAAAAAATGACTTTATCCATCTGTAAGCAAATAGTTTTCACCATGCGGACAATTCACTACGATAATTCATTCAATTTGATTGGTAATTACCACTCTGACTGGTGATTGGTTTTGAGAGCTGCCTGTGCCTGTCAAGGTTGACACTGCTCTCTCCAATTTGGCTTTTATCTTTCACTTACTAGAGTTGCAAATCTAGCTTCTAAACAAAGAATACTCAATAAACCTGGAGTATGGAGACAAAGTGCATGCAGAACGCTTGCCATGTTTCTACGATGCTACTTAACATTTAAGGGGAATCAAAAATCCACCCGAAAAAAGTGGTGGGGATTTAATTGAATTCAGGATAACTGGGTCAAGTGGAGGAAGGTATATTTCCATGACGACTTCATTTTTTTTGTCGTCAACTTACGTAAGATTACCTTTGGGACACACGGTTTAAAGAACTGCCTGAAGGGAAGAATAATCCATTTAGTTTTGTTGCCTCATCCGGATAAATGAGCTGAAGAACATGGGTGAAATGGAAAATGCGGCAATTTCTCTCCCCCTCCCATGGTTAACACGTTGAATGCAATACGACCCAATGGCCACATTTTCCATTTCAACCATGTTCTTCAGCTCAGTGCGCAAAATAGAACAGTTGGACATTTTCCCAACTAAAAAATGCAAAGATTAAAAAGCCAAAATATCTGAACTCAACTTCTTTGTGTACGTAATAGGCACGGTACCAGTCACATTTGTGAACTTTACGATTGGTGTGAAGCCTTCAGCTGTAAATCCAATTACCGATCATTCAGACACGATGTCGTTGTGCAGAACGATTCTTTTCTTCTGTGCGTTATTTAATATTACTTACTAGCACAACCTTATATTTTCAAAAAAAACTGTCATTTGCAAAGGTAAACAAAGAGAATGGAACAAATTTAAAAATCGTTCCTTTGAAGGATATTTGAAACAGATTGAGGGTACTTTGTGCGTGATCTGTTGGTAAATTAAAAAAAATACAAGATGAATAGAAAATCATTATCGGGTGTATAATTTCACTCTTTCGATTAGACCTCAACTAAATGATTGTAAGCCTTCTCTCCTAAAATCTGTTAAATCTGTAATCTCCGAATTTCCTTTACTAAGCTGCAAATAATAAACGAGCTATCTACTGTTTCAAGGCAAAAATTCTAACAGCAAAGAGACACCATCACTCCTGAAAATTATTGTCTTTCCTCATTAACTTCCATTTTCCCCTCCTCACATTAAGTGGAATATTGAAGCATGTAAATACTTCTTTAGTTCGCAAATCTGTCGTCTAGATATCCTGGAAGCAAGCAAATTTGAAGCCATGCCAAAAGACTAGGCATTATAAGAGCATTTGGTTTGCGCTCTCATTCTCTTATATTGCACACACCGGCGTTAATTAGTTTGATTGTCAAAGAATTAGCCTACTTCGAGCATCAAAACCCACCATTATTGGATCGTTAGTCTGCATGAACAAAGATGCATTGTTGGTGCAAATCAAATCTGCTTAATTTTACTCAAGGGATTCAGGTATGGGTATCTAAACACAGTACGTTAGTCTTTTGACGAAAAGTAGGCACTAATAAGCTAATGGAATGTATAATTTATTGAAACATTTTATCAACGTGAGAAACTTGTTTAACTCCGGCTTCTCGTGAAATGATTGGGGTGGGGGGTGGGGGGGGGGGGGAGGATATCAATGACTCCAAACGATGCCAAGCCAAAAAGCGCAGACATTCATACTGGAAGGTTCTCACAATATATCTATTCTGTGAATTTTGCCACGAAACTCTTTAGCAGTTTCTCAAATCTATGACATATCATTCACCATAATAAGAACACAGTCTTAGTAGAATTTTGCCTAAATTTAATTTAAGATTAGATTGTTAGAGCGGGATGTATGAATGATAATTGAAATATCAGTCAAAAAGGTGAAAAAACTGCATTTATTATTTAAAAAGAAGCGCTGGTTGCATAGAGAAAAGAGCTTCCAATTTGAAAGGCGTTTATCACTGACTTTCCTATCTGTTCCTTCAAAAGAGTTGAGTTTCTAATAAAATTCAGTTGCTGACAGCTTAATCAACAGGCTTAGATAAGATGCATATAGATACTCTCTCTCGTAACTGCGCCCTGAAAAAAAATCGTCTGCTTCGTCTTCCTATGTAATTAACATCTCCTGGCTCGTACCTCTTTTTTAACCCTCAGTCAACCAAGAGCACGAATTCAGTCAACCACCTTGTCCCACCTCATTTCAAATGTTCTTCCTCTCCCCCTCTCCCAAAAAAAACGTTTCCTACTCTTCCCAAAGTTACCCTCTCATTCATTTTCAATTAACCAATGCACGTGCAACCGATCCCAATCTTGGCTTCATTAATGCTAAAGGGGACATCTAGCCCAAAATGGCTTTATAACTATTTTAAAACCATTTAAAATACTTTTTCATTTGATTGTTAATACTATTCTACAATTGCAAAATGTTGCATTCTCTTGGCTTTAGTGACGCAAAGAATAGTATTTAATACGATTGTGCAGGTAAGCACATATTACTTGTTATAGATGAAAAAAGGTTGCATAGTGATTGGCATGAGGCGCAGAACGCCTATCAACCATTTAATAAACATTAAAGCATGACAATGTACAGATTCACGCGCTAAAAAGAAGGAGTCGAAGGGAATGGTTAAAAGGTGAAAGGAGAGGGAATAGTAACTGAGAACATACAAAGGCAATTTAGTACAAACATATTGACGAAATTCATCGACGTCCATTTGTGTAACTCACTCCATAAGGGCTGGGAATTCCAGGATTTTCCAGCGTTAAGGTTGATCCCGAGGAGTAGGAGAAGTCGGTGTCTCCATCCGAAGTGCTATCATCGTCAGAATCAAAATCCTTGTTGACATTAGCTCTGGTTGCAGTGTAGAGCATGACTGGACCGTCGGCTGAGACCTTAACACCGCCGCCTTTTGTAGGTGTTACGAACATCACATCACTATGCCAGCCACCTTTACTCTTTTCAGCTTCTGAAAGTGGTAATTCCCTAGATTTTGAACGATTTGAAGGTTTCCTACTCGTCGATCTCTTTCGAGAAGGTGGTCGTCTAGAATATGGAGTCTTAGGTTTCTTGTAAATCTCAGGGGTGAAGTACTCAACTTCTGTCATGGCGGAACTAGGGGCTATTGTGATGCTCACATCATCATCCAAAGTATAGTTCTGCCGTCTAGGATTGCCGCGAGATTTCCTCGACTTGGAACGATATTTATCCTTAACGATGGAATCTTCTTCATCACTTGGACCAACATAGTAATACTGTGTCGTTAATCCGCTTTTACGTTGGTTACCCCCTGCTTCATCAAAAGAGCTAAAACTATCGCGTCTACGAGATCGTCTCCCTGGATTATCCAGCTGAGTTGCAAAAGTATCAGGGGTTTCTCTTGAGTATACAGTTCCATCGTCCATATGAGGATCAGCACAAATGAAAGAGCTTGTAGTATTCCACGGTCCATTCTGGGGCGAATGTGATCTTGAAGAATTAGAGTCCGAATATCTATCATTCCCTGGGGACCGTTGGCGATAACCTCGACGACTATCCTCGTTGTAGGTATCGACTGATTGATTTTCCGATTGTGCGACCTCTCCTCGTTCATCAACCATGCTTTCGTCACTATCCGCAATGGAAGGAGCCGCAGTCCAACGAAGTTCCACCTTGGGATTCGATTCTTTTACCAAGTTCATAAATCTGATCACCTCGTTGGCTTCCTTCATTCCAAGCACAAATAGGTAATCATTTTTCGGTGCCTCGTAGTTCACAAAGGCCATTCTACTATCAGAGTCAAGTTGTTCAATCATTTTCACTTGGCTGTATTCCAATATCTTTTTCTTTTTATTTCCAAGAACAACCGGGTTTTTGAACTCCACCTTGTGCGCAAAGAACTTTGCGGATGCCGCCTTTTTCGCCTTATCCTCTTTTTTCGGAGAAGAAAGTTTTTTTACAGATTCTCGAGAGATGTTTGTTCCTTTAGCCACCTTTCCTTTAGCTATGACAAGAGCATCAGTCTGGAAATCATGAACCTTGTCGGCTTTGCTTTGTTTCTTCTTCTCTTCCTTTTGCTTCTTGGCAGAAGTCTTATCTTCGGCTTTTTGATTCTTTGCCATTCCCTCTTGCCGGGTGTGAGTTGAGTAATTGATTGCAAAGTATTCGAGACGGTGGGGCTCTTTAAATGTGTCTCTTAATGAGCCATTTAACTCTACATCGAGGGAGAAATTGTGATTGGTTTAATGGTGAGTAAGTTATAATAACCAACCAATTGCCATGAGATCAAGAGAAGGCGAGATGTGAATTTTGTTTGGCGTCATGTTCCACCTCCGCGCTCAGATTAAATGCATGGTGCATGCAACTTGTTAGTAATGACGATTAACATTGTCTCATTCTTAATTAAGTTCATTCAGGAAAATTCATTTTCATAAGCAATCAAAACACTTTATTGCTAAGTAAATGTCATCAGATAACTGATTTGGCTTCGTTTTCGACGGTGACATTCTTCAAATCATCGTAAAAGATTTCGTTGCTACACAGGTTTTCAATAATATATTTAACCTCGTGAAGTCGAAGAAGTTGTTATCTTCTCTGGCTTGCTATTAATACAAATATTCTCCCAACTGTTGTCTTCACCTAGATGTCATTTCCCTGAGACTTCAAGCTCTTGCTTCCGTGCTATGATAAATAGTTAGTGCAAAACACACAAAGGTTCCCAATTATCCTTAACACATAAATAGCTGTTATGAAGAAAATTCAGCGTGTTTATGCGAAATGGGAGTTTTCCCATTAGAGAAAAGCTAAAGAGCTGAGGTCGAATAGCGATGAGATCAGGAGCATCGTTTGAAATTTAGAGAAACTAAAAGGATTCGCAAAGTGATTGAAAGTCGGACCCATGGTACAATTTACTGGGAGCTAGTTGTATGTAGATCAATATCATTATAAATGAATTCAATTCCGGAAGTAATTAATCAAATGTAAATAGTTTATCCACAAATTTATTGCCTAATTAATTAATGTATGTGAATGTTGCTCCAACCTCTCTTTTAACGCGGTGTACTTGTGGAACACGATTACCTTCAACAGTGGCACAATAGAAATCAAAAGATGCCTTAGAAGAAATTAATATTAATTAAAGTGAAATTTTTACTTTTTCTGTTTATTAGGACAATCGAATGAGGAGGAAAACGAAGAAACTAAAAGCTTCCTGAAATTGGATATGAATTTTGCACTTGAAGTCTGTTCTCTCTGAAAACCGCCGATTGAACGACCTACCATCTTTATCTGTGTTTGTTCTTAATCAATCTATCCTTCTATTCAAAGATATTTGCTTAAATATGGTTTGACCAAATATACCTCAGAGTCGGTTTTAGATCGTCTATCGAGTTAAGACCTCTGAGGACGTCTTTATTCTGGATTGAATAAACATTTCGTGTTGGGATGGTTTCCAAGGGAAGTTCATGGCTTAGGAGACACTTTAACAGAATTGTCTCGATGCAACGATATTAGTTGAGTAAATCGAAGTGCAGACTTGAATCAGCCCTCGAGAAGCATAAATATACACCGATATGCATTGAGTCCGACCATATTCAGTCAAAATTTCGCTTTTATTGTTCGCGTCTCTCTCGAACTTCCTTCATTCAATGCTGTTGTTCGAATATCAACCGTTTCCTGCAAGCCACGTTTGGCATCTCGATTGTCAACTAACTCTTTAAAACATTTCTTCAAAAATCGACTATTTTTGCATTAAAGGGGAAAATACTGCATGTGAAGTCAAACAAATTTGGTTCAGGCCCACAGACTTGACCAGGCTTATATACAACAGGTGGTCCTCATGTTTCCAATTATTGGTAGAATTATTAACTTCAGTTTTAACCTCAGTTTTGACACTTTGAGGGTTTGGATAGAATTGTTGTTGATCTAATGATTTGACCTTTAATGCCATACTATTTGAGGAGAATTGTATAAATGATGCATTTTCTTTTAGAAAAAAATACGTTAGCCTTCATCTCGCAAATTGAATATATATTTCAAAAGAGCGATTTAGCTTTATAGGAAGCTTTTATTAAATTTAGCTCTCTACTACCGGCATCAAGACAATGCGAGCCAAGACACCCTCAATTGCCATTTGATAATCGAGCTTCAAGTTCGAATTCCACGGCGTCAATTCATATGATAAGGTCACACAGGAAGAGTTACATCACTCAGAAAAATGTGAAATAGTTTCAGTCCAAATAATAAGGGTCACTCTGGAATCCTACTATCTTTATGCTCTAGCGCAACCTATCACTCATCTATTTGCTCACTGAATTTCGTAGCATCTCTCACACACACATACACACACAGTGATCAAATGAGTTGGCTTTCTTTATGAAATCGATTATACTTCACCCTGGCCCACGAAATACGTCAGTTGTATTCAAATATTCCTTATCCTTGTCTCACTTTTGTGTAGTCGTCTTTAAAATCTGCCCATTTTGACGTGAAATGTCAAACTTTTAAGGGGACCTTCTCTTCAATTTTATTATGAAACCTTTTCTTGTTAATAACCCTTAAATAAATGAATAAGAAATGCTACACCAGTGTTAGTTTAAATCAAATGATTAGATATATGTCAACTGCATGACTATTTCATGAGTTATACTTCTTACGCATAAGTTTTAATTACCTTTGAAGTAATAAAATTAGACTGGCAAAAGATCGTTCTATTTTTTGTCAGTATCATAGAACTGAACTTGTTGCTTGTCAATTCCTTTTTTTAATATCAAATATAGCAAACACAATTACATTATTACATTTCAAAATATTAGCAATGGATATTGTAGGTGTTTGCACCATTTTCAAAGTGTTTATTGATTGATAGATAAATAAATAAATTTATAGATAAGGTAGAGCGCTGCCGAACTTATTACTAAGTCAATGAGTCACTTTGGCTTCATATGCTCTTATGAGGCGCGTAAATGACATTAAACGCCCTATTTTTGTCAAAAAGTTTCTAACATGCTGGGGGTACTTGCAAAGACCAGGTGACTCGGGAGTACCACTCCTATTCGCAAGACTATGTCTTGGTGTTCTTTGCCAATTGCACGCGTTTGAGCAGATAACGTCAAGCTTGACAGTACAGAGATGGGGGGGGGGAGGACTGAGTTATGGGCGGTTGTGCCACTGTGACTCCAATGCAGTTGATCATGTTGGCCAACAATGTGGGAATAGATTCTGTAAAACCGTTTATCAGAACCCAAATGTACATTGAAGGATATTTTAATTGTCGAGATGAGTGTAGGGAATGTTCTCTTAAGATAAACCCACGCGTTTTGCTATAAACAGAGAATAGAATAAATTGAGCTTATTTTCCCATATTTGTCAGCGATTGGCTGAATAGAATCTAATTCTACCTGAAAGCCTGGTTGTTGTCTTATCACATCAGCAGAAATAGTCTTAGTATTGATAAGTTTCTGAAATCTATTTTTCTCACAAGCTCTCCTCTTTATTAATGAAGTAATAACCAGTGTGAATAGTAATCATTCCATCGAAAGCTCACTCAGTTGTTTCGAAACGGTGTCCCTTGAAGAGTACCAAAGTGCTTACTTGATGAATGTGCTTTAGTATCGTATTAATGTGGGTGTTTTAGAATATAATCAAATCGGATAATTTTGTGCTAGGCACTTTTAATGGTAAAACCGTTACATATGCAGTCAAAGGGGCGATTCAGTACACTCGAGTGTATATCATGGAAATTTTGGAATAACCTTTTCAGTCGCCTGCCTTTGTGAAAATTGAAAGGTTTCAATGAGATCGGATTCGAGCGCTGATTACTACCTGCTATAGATTACTCACGATAACAATAAAAAGCACATCTTACACTGATCAATAATCCTAACACGAACTATAACACCATTCAATGGCGGTTAAGGGAGAGGGCTAAATTGAAAGTAGAATTTGAAATCAGGACATCAAAAGTATTCTACAAAATAACATTTTCAGATGTAGAAGGTACATATTTCATGTCACACAAGTAGACCACCTTTTGTGCTCTAAGGTTCTACTGTTCTAATGCTACCTCTATTAATCCATGCTCTCAGAGTTTACAAATGATTAGTCAACTGATACACGTTGATGACTAATCAACCACTTACAAGATGCAAAATTAGCAACCTCCTACTGAAGATAAAATGAAACCAATTTTCTCCTTAGAGATTCATTGTTTATACTATTGATCCTAGCGTTTCACAAAACTCCAAGCTTTTTACAAAAACTTAGCAACTGTTAATAAGCCAGCTTGCATGCACACATTTCTTTCATTTATTCACTCAAATTTTTGAAAATGTACTAAATGTACAACAAAACGAATTTCACACTTAAATTACTATGAAATATTTGCAAAATGTTTTGCAAGATATTGAACAGTGCAGTGGAGTAAGCTTTTTGTTGACATATTTATTTTAAATGGCAGGCGTTTTGATTGTTACCATTAGCCCTTTAGCAGACTTCGGACTTCACAGAGGGGAGGAACATCATAGAAGGAAAAATTCGAGTGAGGGGAAAGAAGAGTGATTCACAGATGTAAAGAGACAGATGGACACAAATGCAGAGAAAAGGTAAGATGAGTACTGTTGAAGTGGTCAAAGTTGGCATATAGTGGGGTCATGGTAGTTTGAAGTCAGAAGTCAACTGACGGTTAATAGACTTTTTTTGCCGTATGAGTATACGTTGCCACCGATTAATAGACTTTTTTTGCCGTATGAGTATACGTTGCCCAGGGTGTTCCACGCGGAGGTAAGTCTATCGCGCACCCCTCTATTGACATATAATCCAGTTATTCGTACCTTCTTAAAATGTGGAACCAACTCTTGGTCTAGCTTTTCTATTTTCTGCTGCATGCACAGCACTCTTATTCCAAGTGTCACATATTTCTGTAGGTTTAATAGGCAGGGCTATTTAGAGCTCTTAATGCTTCATCTGTGGGTTTAATTTTGATGAAAATCTATTTCTTAAATTTTCTTTTTATCACACCCTTCACATCTATGTAACTAACAGTGCTGTATTCCAATGAAGCCTCTTGCCAATTATTGGAATTGATATGAAGCGGCAAGGTTTTGTGCCATGCATACATCTTCACGTCAATCAAAGTCTTCTGCCGACTTCAGCTGAAGTTACAACATATTCTTCATTATCAACTTTGCTAACTGTCATGAAGCTACGCGTGATTGACCAATTTTATTTTTGAATATCATCTTTCCTTTAGCTCAAATCCGAAGTTTCTTATTCCACTCTATTCACTGAACTCTCGCCTCCCCCTCCCCTATACCCCCACCCCCAAGCATGTCTATCAAGTCATATTGGTGAGATCCCGCTCCTTTTTAGCTCACTCACTCACTCTCCCCCCCCCCCCCCCCTCCCTGATTATGTCCTCTATTTTCTTCTTCTTCTTCCATATTGAGTTTTACATTCGATGGTTCTTTAAGGGTATAAAATGGATTGATCAGTCTGTCGCAGTGCTTGTGTTTTGTGGTGCAAGATAAAAGCTAGAGAGCACTGTATCCTTATTCGCCTATCCTATTTTGCATAAAACCTGCACATCTACCAAGATGCATAATTTCATGGGCCTATTTCTTGTGTCAAAGTCCGACCGATGACACTTCCATATTAGCACATTTGCTGGTGAAAGGTTGTGTGCGTGTATAGGAATGAATTTAAGAACTGAGAATCGGGATATTCTTTGGCTTCGTGGACTAACTGGCCTGATGAGCATTCTTTCATGGGTAAGTTTATTCCAATCGTGATGGAATTACTAGTTAATTGAAATAACATAGTAACCCATGCATTTGAGTATCATAAAAATGAAAATTCGTAATTCTATTGGTGTGGAATAACACTTTTCATACAGATGATGTATAAATGTGGATTTAATTATTGGTATCATTTCGGAAAATTTCGGTGATTTGGCATAGTTTATTAAATTATTGATTTTAACAAGCAGCGTTCATTTTAGATTGAATTATACACAAATTGTATGATTCATACATTTCAGTTCTTAAAATAATATTTCTTCACAATTCCAAATTTTTAAAATTTTTTTAAACGAAGACTATTTATTCTTTATTAGTAGAACGGAATATACAGAGCGTATTATTTTGAACCTTGTTGAGATGCCTTCAATAGGGTTAAAATATTTTTTGCCAGAGATCTAGAAGAGAATAAAGAATGTTTAATCACAGTAAGATGCTCCCAAAATTTATGGATTTAGGGATTATGTAATTTACAAATTTTTCGTCACACTTCTTACTGATAATGCAGTTTACAGTACATTGGTGCTATGATTTCATTATTATAATTATTGATAATTCTGATGGGTTGGCCATTTAATCGACCCTTTGAGCCTATAAATAATAGGAAATGCTCCCATAATCTGGTTTGATGGGGGCATTACATTAAGATCGCACATAGTGCCATCTAAACTACACAATCAAGTAAATAGCATTGACGAGGGCCTATCCATTCCCTTACTTCACATGAGAGCTGTTGCCCACCCACACTTACTGAAGACTCAGCAAAATGCTTAACTTATTCCACTATCTACTCGACTTTCCTTTTGGATAATTAAGAGGTCTTATACATATCCTAGTTATTAAGGCAAAACAAGAAGATTTACTTTTAGGAGGTCGTGATCGCATATGACACCCCCCCCCCCCTAATCAAATTTGACACAGAAACACAAGACAAATAATATTGCCAGCAAAATTAATTAAATGGTAATCAAAAGGCCATTAACATCGAAACCCTATAAAGTTAAGTTGATTAAGGGTAACTATGATGACCATTTTCACTAATGAGTGAGTTTAGGGTATAAGAATGACTGTACTTCAAAAGACTGGATTGGCGTTATCACTATCAATCTTTTGAATTTGAACAGTACACTTTCATATTCTAACAAATGAATTAAACCGGTTTTTGGAAATTGAGAGGATGTAGAAAACTCAGCTCCAGATGAAATGAATTCTCCCTAATAACCAAAGTCATATCACAAACTCCAGCTTAAGCTATGTACAAATAACTGATTTCAAGATCGAAATGTCTTACATTCACTTTAACAGCCTGTGGAAAAAATGGATTTTTCACCCTATACTTTCTCCTGTCCAAATAATAATTTTCTTTCTTTCAATAGTGCTAGTGAATCATAAAGACCCTTACTCTCCCACCCAAGTTTTATTTTAGCATTGAAAAATAAATTAAATTGGTCATTCAGGTCAATGGTGTTGCGCCTGTCAATTTTAAACCTGCTCCATTATTGAAAGAGAATTAAAATTTCAGGCGGTAGGAAATTCATGCAATGAAAAGCATTAAGTTAAATGTTTGGAGGCAGATGTTATTGCCACGCCTCAGTTACTAACAGTAGGATTTTTTCACAATATCATCAACTGTGGTTCTGTTTTTTACACGACTTGATTAGACATCCCAATTAATAGAAGACTGAGTAATTGAGAAACAAAAATTATCTTAGTTCCTTTCTACTCTTCAGGCTTACAGTTGTGGCTGCTTGGCCTACTGCATTTACCTTCTCCTTAAAGTGGAATTGACGATCATTCCCTCCTTAAATATTCTTGATATTCAGACAGGTTAGTTAAGCAACATTTTTTTCCATCTGATTGCAAAGTCTTGTAGGTCTAGTAATAATTCTGTGCAGTTCTGCACTCACAATGGTAACTGGTATGGCTGGAGCGTGTGGGGCCATAACTCTACAAAAGGGTCCTCTTTTGTTGGTAAGTTAATTGAAAAACTGTGTGAAGCATAAAAATCTAAACGAAAAGTAAGTTGCTCTTTCGCGTTTGCAGCATTGCTGTCTGACAACTATCGAGTGCATTGGTTTTCTCGCTGCTGGGACACTGGCTCTTAGGAATCGGGTGACGGTGAGTCAACCCCAATTACTAAAATGGTCAATCCTATACCGCATCTAAGGCCAGGGTCTTTATTTCAGATTGCATCTCGATTGGAAATAGAATTCAATGGAATGCTGAGGCAATATGTTGGAACAAACGCTCCTGACGAAATTGTTTACAAAATCCACACAATTCAATCGCTTGTAAGTGGGCATTAGAAGATTCGAGCACACACCATATTTTCTCAACGAAATCATTGTAATTTCTAGTTGCGTTGCTGCGGTAAAAACGGCGAACAGGACTACTTACATATGGAGAGATCACACCATTGTTTCAGAGCAGTTTCACAATATGTAAGTTACAGTTTTTGCCATTAAAAACTAGTACCGTTAGCAATTAGTTAGTGGTTCATACTAACTTCCAATGTGGAAATCAATTACGATTTCATAACCCATTGAGCAAAAAATTAATTGGAATATTCGCTTGAGGGGAGGGGATACATATTGGAGGCTCTTTAATAATTAACTCGACTTCTGCTATTTCCTCGCACAGTTCACTGATTGTAACCCAATTAGTATATGGACTTAACTCTTATTGAATGGGCAATTTAATTTATTCTCCACGTATGCACATACAGTTCTGGCGAAATTCCTTCGACACTGTGACAAAATCCCCACTTTCTTTCCTATTAAAGTGAGCATAATCCCAATAGAAACAGTGAAGATATCTTCTGCTGGGGTCAATCTACATACCCCCCCCCCTGACATGAGTGTCTCATCGGAGAGGCTTCATGATGAAAGATAAAAGTGTACTTACTTCGGTAGAAATAGAATTAAGGTATCTAATATCAACCTTATGATTGTGTTTCAATCGAAAGCACCACTTAAAAAATTGTTTTATTTACAACACTTTCAAGGGGTGTCTAAGAGCGGTGCTAAATGTTGTAACAACTGAATTATTTAACCAAACCTGTGTTGGTCTTGCGGGGGTATTTCTTCTGGTAAGAATCATTATTTAAAGATAACACTCTTGCAACTTAAAATTTGAATAGTATCTACATTTAATATCTGTGCCCTTTTTAGCTTTTTTCCTTATTCTCTGCGGCTTCTCTAATGTCTTCGATTCAAAATGATTTTTGAAAGATGTAACTGCTGGATTTTTAGTAGATGTTGTGTGTGTGTACTTTGTTTAAATAAAATTGGAATTTTAGCCAAATACGCAAAGAACTTACTACTTTGTTTTAATCGTATTGATGAGATGAAGAAAGGCCTAGAAGAATTATTAGTATTCTTAATTAGTGAATACCAAACTTACAGTATTGTCCAATGATGTTGCTATGTCCACTGCTGTATGTCCTTCCTAACAAAGGAAAGTAGCCTTTTATTACAGAACCGTCAAGTAATTGATTGAATGAACCCTTTAATAATCAACGAAAAGTAGGAGAAAAACCCAATATTATATTTAAGAAGGCGTAGGAAAGTGGGTTTGCAAACGAAACTCCAAATGTTTCAAGCGTATTTATGGGGTATGTTGAGGTCTTTACTGACTGTACACTGTAAATCGATAGAAAACGAAAAAATCGTCTTTTTATAATTTCTGGCTTTCAGCGGTAGTTTCTTTCATGATCGGTTCAAGAATAATTGACTAACAGTTAAATTCCGCATAAAACCAACATTGTCTGAAGACAAATGGGTCAATTGTTCTGTCCCAAACCCTAGAACTACGTGGATACCGTTTAAGTCTACCAAGAACAAGTCAAGAGTTTTTAAGGAAAAAAACTGATTAGCAAGATATCTATCCGTAGTTGTGCAACAAAATGTTTCCCTCATTTTCTTATCAACCACCAATGAGCTAAAAGGAACACTTTTAAGTGTCTAGAAGGGGAAGAGGAGACCAAATAAGAAATGAGACTGTAAGTAGGTGCTGTGATGAAATAGAGACAGTGTGTATAGCCAATTATCGATATTTTTTCAGTTTGAGCGCATACCTCTTCAAAATTAGATTAATAAACATAGGCAATCTGATTGTAGAGGGCAGAAAACGATTTAACATTAATAATGTAAAGATTCGGCCAAAGTACTTTAAAAAAATCATGACGAAATTAGGGCGATGGATCATAGGAATCGGTGATTAAGATAGGAACATGAATAGAGGGCGAGAAGACTTGGTCAGTAAGATCGATATGTAAGTGTGTGCACGCCCATGAGTAATTTAAGAATATAGAAAATTAATCACCACGTTGGTGCGTGCCATTCGGATGTTGGAGCGGACGAAACAACTAATGTGCTTTTTGCAGAGATTTTGTGTTGTGAATGTTTCGTAGGAGAATATGAAGAGTAACACTTCAGACACTTTGAAAATATAGATGATCAAGCGTGACATTACAATTAAACGTTTAAATTACTAATTTGAGAGGACATGATACACTTGTTGCGGATTTCAGGGGACATCATGGAAATTGTGGACACTCAATTCTATGTTGGAATAAACCATTTTCGGCTAAAGGGGATTGTAATCTCAGTCATAGGAATTAATATTTATTGTAATCAATTATAGATAAATAAGCACCATTATTGTTCAATTATGGATGGTAGCTGAAGCCGTTTAGTGAAAAAGGGTGTAAAAAAGGTTAAAATGGGGGGGGGGAGTGGAGGGGAAGGATCAAAATAATGCTGAGTGACGAAAGATGATATCAAAATTTCGTCCATTAATTTGATTTTTTTCGTATTTGAATTGCGCCACACCGATGAAATTACTGATTCACTTTCCAAAGCTCATGTCGCTTTATTCATTCACATTTTATTATACTAAATGTTTTTCTACGATGCTTAGCTCTCATTGGACTTAAGATTTACAATAGTAAGCGCAGTTTAAGAACAATGGAATGTAGGGCGTAAATTTATCATTTGCAAGTTGAAGCATAGCGTAGCGTATTAAATTTCTAGAATATCTTAAAATTTCACTTAATTTTCCAATACATAAAAATAGCTAAATATGGGCTTCACAATTACGTAATTCGTAGGGAAATATGAGCATAGGAGTCGTTTCTATTATTGAATTTTCAACAGCGCACATATAACCAGGAGTAGAAATTACCACAGGGCTAGTGTACAAACTACATAATATCATAAATGGCTTAACTTATAATAACCGAATTTAGTGAAGGCTAATTTCATACTATCCAAACTAATAGAAATATCTGTGGCATTAATTAATGATTTGTACAAAATCGATCCGTTTTGAACTTGTTTTAAATCTTTATTATTTATTGGAATAGGGAAGGATCACCAACTCTTTCGAAATTCTTAGCTTAAGAGCTCAATAGTGTCTGTGACCACGGTTTGGTAACTACGTCATTCCAAGTGTTATATCCATCTGTACAAAAAAAATAATTCCGTTGTTTTACGATTTTTACTTGATTTAGCAAACAAAAATACAAGTTGGAATATTAAAAAATGTAAATAAATGTATTTGGTATTGTTATTTCATTGCACACTTGCTAATTTAACTTTATGCCTAGCTATTTTACTCATTTTTAACAAAAGTATTTGAGGCTACGCACACTTTCCAATTAGATCAGAGATTGAAAAGAACAATAAATAAATTCCCCACAAACTTCAGTTATGATCCACCTACCTAACATAAATGCGTAATGACTATGAGACAATCCTTAGTAATCTCGAATTTATAGCCAAGCTCACTACGGGGGGGGGGGGGGGTTAAAATAAATGTTTCGTAAGCAGTAAAGTAGCTCTTTTGAACTGATTACAGTCTGGGGAATTTAATCAATTCCTGGTTCCCCGACCTAAACGAGTTCTACCTCAAATAATATAGGAAAGAGGGAAAGGATATGGCGTGATAACAAGGGACTGAGAGCTTAACCAGTCCCTCTGCTAAGTTAGGAGGATACGGTTTTGAGAACTGCGTGGGGTTAATAAGTAACATATACCGTGATGAGGAAGCAATAACTAACTTACTTTGTTTGGAATTTTTATATCTGCTCCATATTCCAAGAGAACCTTTGCAAGGTCATTATGACTTTGATGAAAAGCGCAATGTATGAGGGCGGTTCGTCCAAATTTATCTTGTTGATTGACTGCAGCTCCACGCTCAAGCAATGTCTTCCCAACCTCTGCATTTCCATTGTTGGTCAGCGAAGCTATAGTGAATATCGATATTCAGTATGCTTAGTTTGGACTTGAATGCACATATGCGAAGGTTGATTGGCATATTCGAAAATCTTACCGAGACGAATTAATGGGGTGTACCCATTTTCGGACTCCTTATGATTGACGTCTGCTCCAGCATTAGCTAGGGTTCGAATAACATTGCTAAATTCTCCATCCACAGCATAAAATATCGCCGTCATTCCATTGGCATCCTTAAAATATAACAAACTTCTGAGTCATTGTTAATGAGACGCTTTCTCTTAACAGATATATGAATTATGGATAAATTCGTCTCATTAAAGAAAGCTGAGAACCACGAGTAAACATCTTATTTATGGTAAAACCCTTGAGAAATAATTATATCAAGTTCAGTTGTACGTATGAGCATTTCTAATGGTCTCTTTGTAATGAGTAAATAGTTTTAAAGCCATAAATGGCGTAATACCTAGCTTAAGAAAACCCATAAATTGAAAAAATCTCGTTGTGTGTTAACTATTTCTTAAAACATTTTGATGAGTAAACGCTGAGATTATCATATACCGGTGCAACTATTTTGGGTTTTTATTACCAAGGTAACTAAATTTTGAAGCAACAAATGACTTAACGACAAAAAAGTGCACTAAATTCCGCTTGATATAAAGAATTTAAAGTGCTTAAGGGCTTAAGCAGGAGGAGAATAGGACCTAGAGAATGGAGTGGTGAGATGCGAGGTGGTTTATTTTTTTAAATGAAAGCCGAAATGCTTACCTGTGCATTTACTTTTGCGCCTCTTTGAATAAGTAACTCGACAATATCGACATGTCCTTCATTGGAGGAAATCATTAGAGCTGTGCGCCCCAATTTATTGGCCGTGTTCACGTCTGCACCGTACTTCAGAAGAATTTGAACAATGCTAAAATTAAACGCTCGAAGGTAAACAAGTTTAGCCAAAATTATACTTTTGTGGTGCTAAAGAGTTAGGCCTTATTAGGTGTGTAACAATAAACAGAAGCCCTAAGATATCCCCAGTTCCTTAAACCAGCAGAATAGACGATGTTGTTTCAGAGCTAATAGATGAGTAAATGATTGAATAAGAGTTAGAATAAATTGATAATTATGAAGTGAATGAGTATTGAGTCATCTCGACCATATATTTTGTGAAGTTGAAGGTTCTGCATTAATCTTTTTAAAAGATTCGACTCCTCTATTGAATATGCGTACTTTCTTATTTATATATCTCATGTGCGATTCATCTCATCCCAAAACAGAGAAAAATAGGGCCATTTTTAAACGCCAGTGATATGTCAGTTTGAATTTCATTTTCTGCTCTTGAAGATTACATAGAGGCTACTTCTGTTTAAAAATAAGAACAAAAATTATTGAGATGAAGTGTTAAGTGGAGCAAAGCATACTTCTAAATAATTATAGTCAAATAAATGAAAAAAAAACATTACTTCATTTTGTTTTTAATAACAGCAGCCATCAATGGAGTATGATCCATTAGATCGGTATATTCAATCTTCCTATTCCTGGTGCAAAGGGGAGAAAAAATTAATAATAATTCATTAAGTAATATATGAACCAAATATTCAAAATTAAGCTGCCTTTAATGGACGGACACTAATACAGAACATCTTTATCAGCACCAAGTACCCCATTTTGGCAGTAAAGTATAAACTTATTGCAATGGAGGTGAACTAACGCCCAATAAGCTAGTACCATAACCTCTAAACGTGTTAGTGTTTAATACACGCAAAAAAACAACTTTTAGACTTGATCCTGAAATTTTGTTTTTGGAACGGAGAGTGATATATAGCGGAAGAGCATGCAGGGGTATAAACACCCTGACCCCTTCCTTAACCGATGACTTGTTTAATTACCTTGCTATTCTTTGTGCATAATGTTCCCCATGCATGAAATAAACCAATGGTAAAGTGGAAAATATTAGGTGAGCAAGTCGCCTTTTGCCAATTAAATTTTCAATTCTAATCTTACGCATGCAGTATACATATGTTAATTTGTGGGATGACTTAGGCCTGAATTAAGTGATGAATCAAAATTAATTACTAAAATTAATAATAATTGAAAACCTAATACGCATTTAGTTTTTCCTTACTAGCGTATTATAACAAAGCCTTAAATGGTTTAGACCTCGTTCATATTAAGCATGAGAGTGAAGTATGAGGGATACCGGAATAGCCAATTCAAATCATGGAATAATCGTGAATAATGGAGAAGATCTAGACTACGCCAATGTAATATTGAGGAACAATGGTAGAGAAAAAAGGTTAAGCCAAATTATGGAATAAACAACAACTTTTCACATTGGCACAAAGAACTGGCACTATCAGTGTGTATTTGACTAGAGTTTTCTAGCAATTTCTGAAAATAACATACCTATTCTCAAGTATAGCATTCAACTTATCGATGTTCTCAAATTCGATGGCTCTGTGAAGGTCATAGCCGGTATTTGGCTCCGCGGGTGATTTAAATTTTACGGAATCACTATAGGGTCCATACCTACCTCCCACTTTATATCTTAGACGTAATTCATATTCTGTTGAACCTTTGAGATTTTCATAGGTACATGAAAGACCTTTCCCTCTATTAAATCAGTTTAATGATAAATGTGTTAACTGACAGGTATATGCGAGTCCAATCGCTCACACCTTTAGTTTTTAATGTAACTTCAATAATCGCAAATATGCTCTTTCGTTCCAAATCTTCTTGGCAGTTGTCCCATCTAACCTTCACTGTATGAAAATCTGGAGTACTAATGTCCGGAATCGGTGGACGTAATTCTGAAATATTAACTTTCGACATTTTAGTGGGCAATATTTGCCAAGTTAATCCTTTACAGATAACGTTTTAAATGCCACGTGAACAAATCAATAATTTTCACATCAAAAATGCATATATACATTTATTCAATTTCGGGGTAGTTGATGTGCATAAGTCATTCCATTAAGATCATCTTCGAGGATCATCATATTGTTAATATAATTTTTTACTTTCAATCGCTTTCAAGTTATTTTCTCTTTATTGCTATTAGGTTTTGTTGATTCAAGCTGCTTAAATTTAAAATGACTGGGTATACTATATTAATTTTGTCAATAATTAATGATAGACTGTTGCATAAATAAGTATGAAAATATTTATTAATTTATACATGGTGGGAACAAGCTTCCCAAGTTACCATTTGGATTTTGCTTTACTCATCCTTATTTTGCCAAATTTGGATCACTTTTGATTAAATCGAAACGATTCATCAAACGGATTTCTATTTATTAGATAGGCAAAAAAGATATTTCAATATTCAACACGCTGATTCATTTGTCAAGAGAGTCAATGCGCAAAATTACAACCCAGAGGCCTCCTAAATGAAAGTCTTGTGTAGTAACCCTGAGATATGTGAGTACCAATCGAGGGTTATCTTCCTTTTTTATCAGGCAAAGTTTTCAACACCCTCGATTATTTGAGATTTGTAGGCCATACATTTTCACTTAAAACTGTGATTAAAAGAATTTGGAAGTCATCTTATTTGGAGGCACAAGATGTGGTTCAATTTGGGCACTCTTCCTCTCCTCCGAGGTAGTTGGGTGGTTATGAACCACTGAATCTCTCTAAATCAAGATCACTAAACCTGGTATGAAAGTACTCTATCTCTACTAATTTTGACATAACAAAAGTATGCATTATAAAGCTGAGATTGCATGAATTCTTCGTATATAGCTTTTCTGCTTTCATACCCATTCAATTATTTCCCCTTATCTGTCATCAAGAGATCTCTTCTGCCTTTTCATCTCCTTCTACGGAATAAAGATTTGCATTACAGCCACATTTCCCTGTTTCTGTTGTATATATGTCATCGAAACCCTCTCCGAAATAGAATATACATTTTACCTAACTGGTTAACGATGTAAATATGCAAGGTGACTACTTCTTTGCCTGTAAGTTCTCGATAAGCCGCAATAAGCTAAACAAAGAGATTATCTTGGATGGAAATGTTATTATTTTCATTTTTATTTTCAAGTTTTTCCTTCCTTACTAGTACTTTAAGTTAGTATTTCCACGCCAAAGTTAATTAAGCCCTGGTTCGAGACCTTACTGATATCGAATCTCATGTAGTTCCGTAATTCCTTTCTCTACCACAGTAATTACCAGATTAATAAATTACAAGTCCGATAGCACACAAAGGATTGTAAATTTTAGCATTTGTAGGTCTATTTGACACGAGCTCTTGTCATATCTTGGGATAAAAAAACCACATTCGATCAGTTGTCACACGTCATCCATCATTTATACCATTATAATGGGTTGGCAATGGGGCTTTGATAATTGACAGTCTACACAAGCTGTCATCTTTCGAATAATTGACCTTCAACTGTGGATTATTTTGTTAAACTCTTTATTGGTGCAGTCATTCCAGGTTACAGTTAGTATTGTCGTAAAATAAGAAAACCTGAACATTCTCCCTTTCAATTAATAATAATGCAGTCGTGGCTATGAGAGACATAGATTTTTACCAAAGGATAACTTATTATCAATCTGAATTATAAAGAGGAAAGCAAGCGAGGAAGTAAATTTTAGGCACCTCACTTACGCTGTCCTGCACAATCTCCCTTTTCTAAATTATTTCACTTGTCCTTCTAAATTACAGAACCTTTCAACTCCTTTTCTGTCATTCAAAATGTCAACTAAGGTTGCATTACTTCCATCGATGACTACGCTGGCCACGGAACAACTCCCACTTCTTGCTCTAAGACGTTAGTTGATTCAAATTCATTTATTCAGCCAGTACTGTGTATATCTATTGCGTTTTTCAGTTCATATATTTTAGAAGGAAAAAAACGATTTGACCCTCATTAATATCCATCAGTCTTCCACCACGCATTTCGTCTTTTTTCAATCCTAAAGTGTAGATGTATGGTTTGAGATTAACGAAAAAGATAAAAACTATTCACACAATAACTACATGTTTAATATAAAATTATTACTATTAAGCATGATTTATTTGTGTTAAAATAGCATGAATGTCAATATCATCTCACTCTTTCGTTTTTTAAGGAAAGAGTTTATTCAGAAATACTTGTTAATGAGATCTGGATTTAGCTTATATTTATTCATTCGGGAGCTGGTATAGTGCTTACTGGAGTCCCAAAGAACGAAATCGAATCACTCATACTGCTAGAACAAATATGAGGTGACCGTGAAATCCATTCCATAGTTATTAGCAAAAATAGTACGATTTAAAACATGTGTATGTTTCATGCGACTTCATTGGCCAACAGCTCATTGTGTTGGTTGACTATCGCGCGATATTTACATGCTTTCCGGATTCACCTATGCATGATGTTGTTATTTTCGTTTCAACTCAGTGACGGTTAATGGCGTTTTGTACTTTCTACTACAGCAACCCCGGGGGTGGCTTTTTCTGGTCTTCGACAGTTGAAATACTAAAATATGGAGCAATAAGCAGTATCTATTAAGAGAAAAAATGTGGATGACAACATACTGTAATAACATTACTTCATTCCCAGACCACATTAACCCGTTTTCTCACGCGTTTCCACTTGAGGCTCGTCGCTTTGCGAGAGCGGTGAAGATAAAAATGTTGTTCAACGTTTAAATTTATGTGGAGTCTCCCGATAAACCAATACTCTACCAATTCATATACCACTAGGCCACTTCTAAAAATAAAAAAATGTACTTTGTGATTATCCTAAGTAATCTCTGTGGAAAAACATCCTAGTGCGGATAGGCACCCCAAATTAGTTAAATTATCTCAATGGGATTGAAGAGGCAGATGCATGACGAGTATAGCGCCGATTGAATATATATATATATATATATAGTCACATCAAACATATTTCTTATTTAAATACATTCAACGTAGCTTGAATGAATCGTAATAGATGAGAAATTGGGAAGTCCTCTGCACTCACGACGCACCCTCCAGAATGCTCGAGTACGCGTGAGATTGATTAGTTTAATCGTGTTTGAGATTGTGTACTCCATAGCCATCTAATCTACAAATATACAAATTTGTATACACACACACACACACACACACACACACACATATATATATATATATATATATATATATATACAACATGATGAATTAAGATCAACATAAATACATACGTTTCTTGCTCATCTAATTCTTATTCATGGGCGCAATTTTATCCACATATTTTATGGTTAATAACATGAGTGAATTAAGGCAGCGCAAGTGACACATCATGGTTCCAAAATCAGGCAATTTCCTAAAATTGATGCAGACCACCAGTATTAGGGATTTACATTCTATATAGCGGGGTGTGCGATAAACATATCTTCACGTGGTGCATCCTGGGTAACGCATACTCACACGGCAAAAAAGTCTATTAACTGGCAGTTGACTTCTATCTTCAAACTACCATCACCCCACTGTAGTTCATTTTCGACTACTTTCACAGTACTTACCTCACCTTTTTCTATCGTTGTGTCTGTCCCTTTTACATTTTTGAAACACTCTTCTATTCCCTCCCCCCCCCCCCCCCCAACCCCCTCTCGACTTTTCCACTTTGATGTTCCTTCCCCTCTGTGAAGCCTGAAATCTACTAAAGGGCTAGTGATAGCTATCACAATGCCCGTCATTTAGTATAATAAAACATTCTATATAGCACTTGCAGCAAACGGTTAATTAAAACGTCAATGACTTCAAAACATGAGAAAATATTTAATGACCACCATGTTTTGTAACCATAGATATGTATAATACAATAGATTCAAATTACTGATAAATTATGAAAGTGATCAAAAATCAACTTAAAGTATGCTACCATTTTTTCAGCTAATTGTCCCTATATGCATATCTGAATATTGAATATCGTAAAAAACGAGTATAGGATTTAATGCAGTACCACTCCGTTTTAGACCCATAAAATAATAAAATCTGTGAAAGAGAAGAGAAATCTTGTTTTGGCTTCTCTGTAGGTTAGGTGTCTGAACTGTTTTCCCATTTAGTTGTACTAAATACATGTGAAAACCGGGGCCTTGACGATGGACAGAGGGATAAAAAACCTTGGTGATACAGTGACTTGAGTACGATTGATTTCCCCATTGTCGCCAAGCTTGTCTCGTTTTTTTTATCCGATGTTATTTCTATCCACGTTGGTGCGCGATTGACTTACCTCCACGTGGTGCTCCCTGGGGAACATATACCCATGAGGCAAAAAAGTTTATAAACTCGCAGCTAAATACAAACTACCATGATCCGACTATATGTCATATTCAACCACCTCCCCAGTACTCACCTTACCTCTTTCTCAAACTCTTTTGTCTGTCCCTTATACATTCGAGAATCCCTCTTCTGATTCCCTCTCGACAATATGTGGCTTTGACGTTCCGCCCTTCTGTGAAGCCCAAAGTCAATTTAAGGGCTAAATTTTCTGGGAGGCGAAAGTTGGGCTTAACAAGATATTAACTTTGGAGTTTGTCACTAAGCTCGGATTGATTAACGAGTGACCGAATTCGTCTGTTTGTTTGTGCAGCCAGTCGCTGATATAACGATATGCCAGAAAGTATTTAAAAATATGATGGCACTGCCTTTCCTAGTCTTGAATATTTCAGAAATTGTTCAAAATTTTGAAAAAGTTTGAATATTACTTATAAAATAAAAAATTCTAATACGTTACTTTGATTTTTCCGAATAAAACCATTCCACTTTATTCAGTACTGATAATTTGTGTTCTTCCTTAATCTCCTCAATTATAATTTATTAGGAAAAAAATAGAGTTTTAATTATACACCACCCTTAAAGTTACTTAAAGCAGACGATTCACACTTTTTTAAATGTTCAGCTCATGACATTTTATATGGTCTACAAATTACGTAGTCAAAAAGTTCATCCCGGATAACAGTGCTCACATAATGGATTAAATGATATTTTAACAATGCTTAAATAAACTCATGTTTCGAATAGTCCGCGCAGAAACTTGCTTATGGAGAGCAAAACGCTAACATGACTGAGCAAAGGGTTCTCCTACGAGCTCGAATATTCTATCAAGTGCAGCCGTGCTACTGATCTAGTATTGGGAGAATGTGCGATCGAGAGTGCAAAGCCCCCCCCCCCCCCAAGCCAGCCAGCCAGCCACTGGTCTTTAATTGATGCATTGATTAACGCTGTTTACTCCATGTACACTGTTTCCTCGATAGAGTTGAAGTAACTTAGCGGGGTTAGGGCGCCATTCAATGCTTAGTATTATTGCCAAAGGGATTGCTATTGTTCAATCCAGACTTATTTGTGCTGCATCCACACACGCTTGAAATAGGCGTGCGAGTTGAGAAAATCGATTTTTTGCAATGTACCATTAACTCACTGCCTGTATAATAAAAGGTACAATTAATTTATGAATCTAGGACTTAATAACAGTGATATAGATTTAATTGATCTTATCCTCGATAACATACCTCTAAAAGTTATATCACAATTAACTGGCAGATGTGCTACAAGTTTAGTTGAAAACAGTTAGAATTAATTGATTGGCATTTTTGTGCAAGCCACATAACTCGATAATGCTGGTGAGGGTTTTTTTTCAATGACCTTATAGGTAGCCTATCTAAATTGTAAGATACAGCAGAGTTATAATCGAGAAGACACCATGGTGTATTTAAACCAATGAAAGTTATCATTGAGCAGAGTGGACAGAGCACACAAATAGAAAAGAAAACTAATTCCAGGTTTCAGAGAGAGAGAGAGAGAGAGTCTCAATTTTCCCTTAACGAAAACGAAAAGGAGTAAGGAGACAGTAAAATGGCCAAGAAGAGGAGAGATTAAAGTCGTGTAGATTACATCACTTTCAAGGATGGATATTGATCCGATTTACAACGGTTACTATGGTATGATGAGTGTTTGCTTCCTGTCCTAAAGCTGCCATCCGAAGCGTCACTGCCAGCATAACTGAAATCGCTTCTAGTTCCATCTTCATCCAATATGCTGCTTTCAGAAGACCCAGGGTAGACACCATGTGAAAAGCTGGTCTTAGTTGAATAGGGCAAGGGAACTCCAAAACTATAAAGATTTGTTATACTCCTCGTTGAAGTAGAAATTCTCATAAGAGAGAAATTAGAGAGATCCACAGATTGAGATCTTTTTGCTAGCGATCTCGTTGGTACAACAGCTCCCGCTTCTACATTATTTCCATTATACTGTTTATTTGAGTATTTAGTGGAAACACGGCCTCTCGAACTCGAATAGCTAGATGATGATGAACTGTAAGAGGGGCGTGAATTTTGAACAAAAATTCTCGAACTTTTAGGGCTGCGTTTATTTGCCTCACTTGATGAAGAAGAGGTAGACAGAGAATAAATGCTAGGCCTCATATTCTGGTTCTTTTTTTGATCATGCCTCCTATCATTGGATGATGCAGATGAACTCGAGGAAGAAGCGAATCCTCTTAGATCTCTTGATTTGCTCTTATTGTAAGAAGGATCTGTAAGGGGGACTGGACGATGTCTTTCTGAGCGAGATTGCAAGTTTGATTGCTTTGGAGGTAGTGATAAATTCGCGTCTCCATTATCTTCAAAAAGTGGTGGAACGGAAAAGACTTCGCCAACTGTATTTAAGGTAGTTGATGGCATGGAAGTAAGGTCGAATTGAGGTGAAGTGGCTCTTGTTGTATAAGTATGAATGTAGCCAGACGTTGTTGAATCCAATCTCTTTGGTTCCAGTGAGTAATTAGGAGAACCTACAGATGGTTCATTGTTTTTATCTCCTGTTGTAACGGTAACTAACGCTGTTGGTGATGTCGGACCTGGAGCGGTAATCTCCGTGACAACTGGTTCTTTAGTATCAGTTGGAGCCTGGGCAACTGTTGCCTCCGCAAAATTCGTGGTTTTATTCGAAGCTTTCACCACTTTCACATTTTGATTCTTCGCTTTAACCAACTGAAGGAATTTAATAGCCTCCTCACCTGTCATGCATTTCAGCATTATCAAATTGCCGCCCTTTTTAGTTTCTGATGTGAGCGCGACCATTGTGTTGTCATTACTCAGTTGACGCGCTTCTTTAACATTTTTAAAGTTTATCTTCGGAGGCTTCTTGCCCTTCACAGCCGACTTTAAGGAGACCTTGCCTTTCGCAGCTGTACCAGTGAACGGTTGTTTCTCGCCTTCAGCCTCAGACACCATAGCTTCTATCTCCGCAATTTTTGGAGCCTTTCCGATGGCATAGTCTTTTACCAGAGGACATTTAACCTGAAGTGGTGGCTCCTTTACCTTCTTCTCCTTCCCTTTCTTCTCCTGCTTAGACATCTTGACGGTGGTAGAAAATGATGTGGAAGTTCGAGGAAGGCAAGTGTGCTTGCGTTTATATCTGTGCCTATTAACCAGTTATCGCTTTAACCTTGTTGCTGGTGTGGGGATTCGGAGATTGGTTATCTTGGCTGTAAAGGGAATGATTTTTCTTCTACTACGCGTCTGCTACTCGATGTTTGATTACTTAAATGCTTATTGGCTGTTAAGTGGTTCGCCAAAAACTCACGCATGGAGAACAGAATTATCCTATGTATTTCGTTACGCATGAAACTGTTATTTATAACTAAAGTACTATATAATTTTAATTCAAGATGTTGGAATTGTAAAAAGAGCATTTTGAAGCTTAATCTAAGGCTAGTATTAAGTTCCATTATGCACATTAAAAGTTAATTTAGAATATTCCCTGACACCACTGAGGAATTTTCATAACTCAACGAAATGTTTGAAATTGCTTTGCTCCCTTTATATTGCAAAACCTGTGACTGTCATGGCTACAGTAACCAATTCAGACCCAAGGTCATACAAGGGAGGACAAAACGATTATTTGGCAGAATTTAATAGGAAGTAGGAATTTAAAAACCTC